GAAAGTGGCTGTCAGACAGATCTGAGCAAAAGTACGCCACATTCAAAGCGGCGAGAAGGGAGGCCACTACCTGTAACCGGAAGCTGAAAGAAGCGTACTACAGTACAAAATTTCAGCTTGCAACTTGTAATGTAAAACAAACCTGGCGAAACATCAACCAGTTGACGGGGAAACAAAGAAAATCGGCACCGCTTCAGTGCTCAGCTGAGGCAATTCGAAGTGCTTTCGCCAAGATCGCGTTCTGTCCCCCCCCCCCTCTCTCTCTCTCATTCCTTCTGTCGTCCACATGTATCAAAGGAGGCGAAATCGCCTGTTTGTGGTGCGACGTTAAATAAACTTCTACAACAACAACAATCGTGGAAGATCCCAGCCGCCCAGTTCATCTTCACCTACCCCAAGGGCCACGAACGGCAACTAGTTTTGTGGAATTTGTTCCTGTATCTATTGCAAAAGTCCGGAGGCTTCTAGAGCAACAGAATCCGACGAAGGCAACTGGCAGTGACGGCATCCCTGCGGCCCTTCTTCGAGCTCATGCAGATGTTCTTGCGCCGTCATTGGCCTTACTGTTCAACAAATCCATGAGGGAGGGACATTTCCCAGCTCCTATGAAGGTGGCCAGCATTTCACCTCTGTTTAAAGGTGGAGATCCCAGCATGGCAAAGAATCACAGACCCGTGTCTCTAATGTCGATAGTTTTCAAAGCTTTTGGAGCGAGTTATCCATGATCAGCTCACTCAGTACTTGTGCCGACATGATCTAATTCCGCCAACTCAGTTCGGCTATCGTTCACATCATTCCACATGTGATGCCCTTGCATTAGCCGTTGAGGGCATATGCCAAGCCCAGACAAAAAAGTACTTCACGGGGATTGCTTTCGTAGATATGTCAAAAGCATTTGATAAGGTGAAGCACCGAACCCTTATTCAGGACCTATTCGAGGTCGGAATTGGTGGAACGGTGTTGCAATGGCTTGCAGACTACCTCTCAGATCGGACACAGTATGTCAAAGTCGGTCAGGTACAGAGCTCACCATACACCAGCTTCTCCGGAGTACCACAGGGGTCAGTTCTCGGGCCCCTGTTGTTTGTTCTCTACGTCCGTGACAGTGCGAAAGAGCTGTCCCCTTACAACGTTGCGACCCTGCAATTTGCGGACCATATATCAATTAGATCCAGCAGCATGAGCACGGATGAGGTGTCCCAAAATCTCTCAAATGCTGTCCAGCACCTCGCCGATTGGCTTAAGAACCGCGGTCTCATCTTGAATGAAACGAAGACACAGGTCATGCCGATATCGCCAGTACGATCTCAAACGTTTGACTTGCAAGTGCAATGTAATGGACTGCCTCTGCCAACTGTTCGCGCTGCGAAATATTTAGGTCTCCACTTTGATGCGGACATGAGCTGGAACAACATGGTCGACCACGTCGCACGGGGCGTGGCGTCAAAAGTTGGTGTGCTCAGACGCTACACTACATTCCTGCCTATTCAATGTCGCATAGCCTATTTTCGTTCTTTCATTTTATCACACTTTATGTATGCCGCTTCTGCTTACTTACCGTTTCTCACGGCGTATATCAAAGTCGACGGCTTAATGGGCTCTTCAAGCGTGCTGTACGCACAGTCTGTCGGGTACCTCCCGGGACACCCACAAGCAATATTCTTACACGCATGAACATCCAAACATTGACCACATACGCCAACATGCACCTTCTGGTTTTATCTGGCGTTGTCTCCATGACTCCTCTAACATCAGCATGTTGTTCGCTAACTTTTTCAGCCGCAGTAATTCCACTCAAACTCGTGGTGGGCACAGCAATTTACTGATTGTCCCAGCCAGCCCAACCAGGGAGTCGTAAAATACCGGTATTTTACGACTCCCTGAGCCCAACCGTATCTTGCCAAACGTGGTACCTACCGAGTATGCTGGGACCATGGACCATGGACCATCTTAAGGGGCGCGACGGGACGCGACGTAAGGATCGACGGGAAGCGACGAGACGGTCTGACGGCGTCCAATGTGAACACCAGGAACGGGAACGCAACTGTACTAGGACGAACGTGACAACTATTGAGCAGGGGCTGCAGCGAGACGCAGCAGTGATGGTGGGGCATTCAGGGCCGTAGCAGGCGGTCCGGCAGGTCCGGCAGCTGCCGGACCAATATTCGGCCCAAAAAAAAAAAAAAAAAAAAAAAAAAAAAAAAAAAAAAAAAAAAAAAAAAAAAAAAAGGTGGGAGCTCACACATGTGAGCAGCTCAGGATGTCCACCCGGTACCCATGATGATGATGTGTGCAATAATTAGTATAGAGGTAAGAGGTACATGTAGTACCGTTTAGTGCCGGCAAGGGGGTTATGGTTATTGGTGCCGGCAGTAGACCTACATGTCATCAGGAGTATGACCCTGCTGAAGGTCATGTGGACAGTCATGCCTGTGAATGTTCCTACACTGTACTTCCTGAAATGTATTGATTCTTTTCTTCCTCCAATTCTTTCTAGATAGGGTTTGTAATCCTTCCTCTTCCTCCAAAGGTCCATTTTGGTTCTTTTATCACATGCATTTAGATACTGTTGCTATGCCTTCATAGGCTTCAACAAGTTCTGTTTGGACAGACACAACATGCTGATGCCCTCTTTCCTGACTCATGCTGAGTGTCCTTCTTCCTTTTCTCGCCCTATGTCACTCTGCATGGTCACGATTGCATGCATGTACATGTACATGTACAATCATGTACATTTTGTACATCTACCGGCATATGTATGGGCTCGAGGGTAGCCCTTTCCCAAAGGTGCTCTTTTAATTCGCACTTAGTGCTTTTCGCGTCCCTCAAAATATGCTGAAAAGTGCTCTTTTTTCAATGAAAACAGCCAAAAAGTGCTCTTTTTCAGTGAAGCATAGCCATGATACATGTTAAGATATGAACCCAAGCTGAGAAAAGAATACGCACTCTTCCATTTATGGGTCCACGAAAGGCAAAACAGGAAGTAAATTTCAAGAAACCCACTTTTACATCATTGTGTACACCGGGTACCGGGTACAAGCTTCACCAACTTGTTGCCCCCCAAAAAAGCGGCGTGCCAAGGCCCATCGAGCACTCGGAAACTGTGATCGCATGCATGAGCAAACAGATTTTAGCACTTTTTCAGCTAAATAAGCTCAAAAAGGGCGATATTCACCAAAAAACGCAATAAAGGGCAAAAGAAACGGGCTTTTCCAAAAAGGGCCAAAAAGGGCGAAAAAAGGGCGAGCACCTTTGGGAAAGGGCTACTCGGGGGGGGCATCGAAGTCGGATCTTGCCGGACCAACCAAAATGGGGCTGCTACGGGCCTGGCATTGATGGCTCTGCCGACCTGAGGTCTCGGCATCACGGCCAAAGACACGTCCTTTCTCAGTATCATTGTCTTTCTTATTATTTTCGAGCTGGGAATGTGAACATAGTAAAAAAAACAAAAAAACAAACAAACTACCGTACAGATCGGGAAGCGACGGGAAGAGTTGGATCGATCCAACTTTTCATACCGTAGACGGGCGTAGACGGGGACGCAAGCGTACAAAACGGCTGTAATTTGAGTGTGAACAGGAGACGGCGTCGTGTGCTGACTACTCCCGATTCGTACTTGGAAATTTTTAGCATTTCGAACACTGCGCTTCCCATGATAACTCACAGAATGGCTAGCACGACTTGAGTTGAATTTAAGCAACATAAGATCTCATGTCACTTATTGTATTTAGGGATAGTTCAGAAGCGTGACAGACGAACTATTCTATCATTTCCTGGGGCTATTATTTGAATGCCACAACTTTCAGGGCTAATTTTTTGGTCTTCATGAAAAACTGGTATCGTGAACTTGATTCCGCTTCTTTCAAGGAGAAATAATTGAAAAGAAGTCCCGAAAAACGAGAAAATAGGTCCTTATCATGACTCGCGCCGTTTGACGTTGAACGTCGCAACGACTGCTGCATGTCGTGTCGTACGAATCGTACAGGATTCTACAGCTCACCCCAGCCCTCCCGATAAGCCCTTATACGTCCCGTACCGTCGGCGTTGCGTCGAATGTGAACTAGGTTGGAACCAGCTCCCCGCTGCGGTCAGGCAAGAAAGAAAACGCAATCGCTTTAAGTCAATGGCTCTTGCCTTTTTGCTTACCAGATAATAAGCCTTTTTTTTACAAATGCTGTATGCACTGCTCTTTCCGTTATTCTTCCTATGCAAGTCACGGCGCAACTCTTGTTTTGAGTGTTTTTCTTTTCTCTTTTTCTTTCCCTACTACAGTTGCTGTTACACTCACTAATCCTTATGCACAGATATACAGCATTCCCTCACTAGTGGGACCATTGTTATTAGGCTAGGGCCTGTTTTGGACTTCCCACTCTAAATAAAGAATACAAACAAACAAACAAACAGAGGGTTTACCTTTCTTTCATGCACAATGGATGTTCTGTGCAAATATAGCACATTAGCAGATTGAAAGGCAGTTTGTCAACATGGTCAATGTCACATTGTCAGCAGAAAAAGGAAGCTGGTGATTGGAGCCAGTTTCCAAATTTGGCTGCTGTTCTCCGTGGTTCTCGGATATGGCTGATGTTGTCTTCCCAAGCAGGGCGCATCCCCATATCGAGATCTCGAGCAAGCAAGAGATCGGCCAAGTCCACGTGCGGCACAGGCCGAAAAAGTCCCGTATGGAATACAGTCGACGTATTCCGCTGTTTTTGCTCTCCAATCTGTTGCCATGACGCGCAAGATACAGCCGGAAGCGGCTACGCGTACCAAAAAAAATACGACAAGTCAGCAGAGAAGCCAGCGTTGTTTTCAACAGTTATTTTGGTGGCTTTTTGATTTATTGAAGAGAGAGACGACCTTCCTCCATAGTTTGAAGGCTACGAAGAGATGCCGCCAACCTTTGCACGTCAATTACCGAAGACGAAGATTTCTTTTTCGTAGTTTTGGCAGCTGATGCGCCGAAGTCGGGGTTTACTGCTGGCGGCAACCCTGTACTCTAT